AAAAAATGGACTGTCTATAAATTCCATAAAATAAAAAATTTTGTATTTAATCGTCAGAATTCTTTCCTAAACTTATCAGGAATTCTAGAACTCTTTGAGGAAGAGTTCAGAACTATATTAATTAAATCAAAATTTTGATAATGGAGTGCCAGCTTTACAGAGATTATGGATATAATTAAAAATTGTAAAAGAATATAATATAAAAATATTTGCAGATGATACGCTAATATATATAACTGGAAAAGTAAAAGTTAGCAAAATAAATATAACATTTAGTATAGTAGAAGAATGGATGAACGCAAATAAAATTAAAATTAAATGCAGGAAAAAATGAAGTATAGGGTAACTCCGGTATATATGCCGCACCTATCAAAAACTTAATTTATTAAGTATTATTTACTATGTTTAAAGTAAACAAATTATGTCTGTAAAAACTTTGTACTATTATGAAAAAAATATTAGAAATCCGAAATATTTATTATATATTTCGTATTAAAAAATGAACTATTTTAAACCCTTGCATTTTTGCTATATATCTTATAGGGAGATGTATGGCTACTCATAAGGAGAGGAGGGGGGGAGATATGTAAGGTTCATGAAAAATTTACAATAATGCATATAAATGAGACGTAAAATGACACAATAACTTATAAAATGTGTATATAAAGTTTTATTAAGGAATAAGAATGATAAATATATGTATATAAACTAATAAATAATAAAATGCGTATATAAAGTTTTATTAAAAAATAAGAAAATGATAAATATGTATATAAAGTAATAAATAATAATTACAATTTTCCCACATATATATATTATAAGTGTTATGATATGAGGTACATATTTCATGTAATGCATCTATTGCATTTAGTGCACTGAATTCAATCTGCACACTTTGTATGCTTTGGGCATAAATCTCGCTCGCTAAAAATGCCATATATCCCAAACAGATGGGATATACAAGACAACAAATTAAACAAAGAATACAAGAGCAAAGTACTTGTATTTTGTTATATAACATACTTTACTATTCCTTTACACTCGTGTATCACGAAATAACCACTAAGTCTTTTGCACATCTTACAGTAATCATTTTATGTAGATAATTATAATTTATGATAGCGCTACTTAACACAGTGACAAATCGATTCAACTCACAATAATTTAATTAATATTAACAATAAGGAGCTGAAATCATAACACAATACTAATATAACATAAAGGCACGTAACAGAGTAGTTGTGGGAAAATTACCCCCACTCTTTCTATTTTTTCTGACTTCTGCGACGTATTTGCTGGAGTTACCTTATATATGATAGTCAGAAGTATAAGAAAAGAGCTATGTGATAATATTATATTAAAATGTTTAGATGGAACTATGAAATAAAACAGATAGAAATAATGAAGTATCTAGAAATAATTATTGATGATAAACCTCGGTTTGAAAATCACTGTGATTACATGCTAAAAATAATAAGGAAAACAAGTTTTTTTAAAAATAGAATAGGTAATTTTATATCGGCTTATATATACTAAATGTATATATACATAAGATAATCATAGCACTCTACTTTGAGTACTATGATGCTGCAGTTGATTGATATAGGAGAAATACAGCTGAGCAAATCGCAGAAGCCGAACTAAGAGTCATATTGCAATGTAACGGATATACCAAAGTGGAACATATGCTGTAAGCATTGCAGTTTACTTATAAAGAAATTTTATAGAAGCTGTATTATAACGTGTGTATTTTTAAAAAATATGTTTCTAAAAACATGTTGCTAAAAGATATGTTGCTGGAGCAATTAAGAAATAACTTAAAAATTGTGGGGAAATAAAAGTGAAAGACAAACACGATAAACCAGAAATATTGCAATAAAATCTCGCAGAACAAGAAATGCGCAAAAGAGTACGTTTTATGAAGAAATAAAAATATAACGCCTTAATATAGTGTAAATTAAAACAGTGTGAGATTTGAGCCGTTTAAGTGCGAATGTTAAGAGAATATATAATATTTAATATTACTTAGAGAGAGGTTTAAGGTCATTTGTAAAAAATGTATTTGAAATAACTGAATAAAGAGTAAATTATTCATTCATATATCCCCCCCACCCCCCCCCTCTCTCTCTCTCTCTCTCTTCTACATATCTATTATACACATTACTACTTTTTGATACCTTTTTTATGCGTAGTTAATAAACATGATCACACATTAATTCGTGGATTATTCAAACTAGCAATGACACCAATAACAACATTAGGATTGGCTAATCGTATTACGTAATAATTTATATTTTACAATAAAAAAATTGGCTTATATAAATTTTAATGAATTCATTTTTGATGTTGCAATTAGATTTTGAAAGTATATTCTAAGCATTATATAAAATTGCTTTATGTTATCTTGTAGAATAATCGTGATATCTTATTTTTCTTGCTTCGTGTATTATTAAAAAAAAATTTTTCTCTTTTTCTATTGACTTGAATATTTTATAAGCTGTAATAAAAAACAAACTTAAAAATACCACATCATACGATGAACGCCAATAATTGCATTTTATAAGTTATGACTGCAGAATAAAAAATATAGAAATCACTTTCGCACAAATGTAACGTTCAAATCTAAGAAACTCATCAAAATATGATGACATTTAAAATTCTACAAGACACGTTCTCATATACTCAGTTAAATTGATAGCTATTTCCGGGCTCATTTGTATCCACAGAACCGGTACGCTACACGAAGAAAGATCGCGTAAAAGTATTCGCGGAAACGCGGTGCACTGTGATCGGTACGGCCAGACGATGAGAATAAAACGCCGACGATACCGAGCCATTATAGTCAATATGTAATGACACATTGCGTTTCAAACGAAAGAACAACCGTTTACACATGCCGTTGTTGTACATTCCAGCAACGAAACAGTCGTAAAATAATTGTCATCATCGACGACGACAAAGATGATGACGAAAATAGTAGCAAGAAAGCGATGTGCATAATCGTAAACATTCGAAATCGTGCCGAATGACGCGCCGATTTTTCATGGAACCCACTGTTATGCCAATGCACGCATTATGATAGCAACGAATCAAATGCGAGCCAATGTTGAATATTGGTTTAGTGTGCCATCCATGAATATGGAATCGGAAAGGTGAAATGATGGAGGAACCAATCAGCATCGTTCCGTTCCGATTTTAGATAGCCTATTTTTCCATCAAGCATATTTTTCAGAAACGGAATGACATTCCAACCTTATAATGAAAATAGTATATCTATTTTGTTTAGAAATAATTTTTCATTCATGAAATGTTAATATGTCCATGCGAAGATATTCAATGTATTTTTCCATGTCAACACGTTGCATTTCTCTTATTAGATTATCACTTGCTCTCTGCAAGCGCACCTTCGTTCTATATTAAATATCATACCCAAATATTGATCCTGATTTTTTCTCTTCTTTTCATTATTTTATAAATATCGAAAGCTTTCAGTAGGTATCTTCTTCAACACTCTCTTTGCCGAGGTAACTGTGGACTACTTAGCTATTTAATTATCATTTTCATAACAAATTAAATACAAAATATTTATAGACAAAATAACATACCATTTTTATTGTAAGGTTAAAATATCATTCCATTTCTGAAAAATATGTTCCATGGGGAGCCAGGCTACTTAAAATCGGAATAGATGTTGATTGATTGTCCCCATGATTTCGATTCCGATTTCCAATTCCGTTTTCCGTACCCATGGGATGGCAATTAGCTATACGAGCGATACATTGCCACGTGACTATGCGTTTTAAATCACAACGCGCGCGCGTGGCAATAGCGAGACGAGGAAACCTCTCCCACTACTGTCGCTCGTACCTATCGACGATATGACGTCACGACCAGCTGACTGCGCTCTAGTGCCGGCTTACTGCCGCACGCGTTGTGTCTCGTTTCTGGCCGCTACACTCTACTTTATATTTCAATTTCGTTCCAAGAATATCTATAAACATTTATTCCAAGAGGGAATTGGCATTTCCCTCGTTTCTATTAAATTACTTCTGGAGAAGTGGATGCGATGATCAAAATTATCGAATCATGGTACTTATATTATTTAGATTTTATTCAGAAATAAGACAAGAAACAGGGATTATAATCGATATAATTTCGATAAATTTTCTATATATAGGATATCCGATTTTAAATGATCATCCCTCAAAATTTTATTTATTTTACATTTTAGAAAAAAAATATTTCAGACAAAAGTTAGAGACAATATAATAAAACTAATTTTCAAAAAAATCAATTTTTTAAGGTCATATAAAGGTCATCACCATTTAAAAAAATGGATTATGTGCGATTTAATTCTTTATACAATATGTTCGTCTAATTATTCTGCATATAAAATTTACGTAAAGTTGCAAGAAAATCAATAGTTTAGAAGAAGACACTTTATAGTTTATTTTGACATGAAATTAAAAAAAAATATCTCGCATGAATTACATGATTTCTCTCTAGATTATTTGATTTTTCCGCGCCGATAATTCTAGTTCAATACTTTTATAAGAATATAACTAAAGGAATTATATTATATAAAAAAAATCATATAATTCTGTTTAAAAAAAAAAGATAATAACGTAAGAGTTACTAACAAATTTTTTTTCGAAAATTAATCTTATTGCTGGTCTCACTTCAGATCTTTCGTTTAAAAAGTTTCCTTTTAAGACTTTAGATATTTGAGATATTTAAAGGAATAAATTAAAATGAGTTACCCTGCACATAACATTTAAAAATTCTCGACTTTTTAAAATATTGTCGATCAATGATGTTAATCAATATTGTTGAACAAATAACTAATAATATACTTAATTTAATAATCGTTCATATATAAACTAGTATAATTAAATCTATTTGTATTAGATATAGAGTGACTTAATCTTCACTGGATATTATACGTCTGCTTCAAGATTTATGTTTACCATTTCGATTACTATGTACAATGGAGTACTTACCGGAATCAAAGTCAGCACCTCCAGCATCCAATCCACCTGGATTCCCATATTCTAGTAAAACAAATAACGTGATTAATTAATAAATAAGAAATAGAAATTTTTTAAATAAATTTAGACTAACAATTAATGAAAATTCATAAGAGAATTAAAAAAAAATTTAACTACTATTAACAAAATTACATTTTTCATCAAATAAGTATTATAAATAAAAATTATATTGTGCAAAAAAATAAAAGATAAAAATTCTTTTTTTTCGTTTATGACAATTCGAGTTTATTAATTACTTGTTTGTGCTAATTAAAATATTTTTATTATAATAATGTATACACTGTTAAACCTATGGTATTAAATTTAAAGTCGTCATTGCTCCTACTCATATCATTATTTTATATTAAAAAAACAATTAAATTTGAAATTATATAGTGCCAATTTCACATTATATAGCGTCAAACTGACTATATCAAATTTAACCGTTGTTTTAGCATAAAATAACGACATATTGAGTAGGAACAGTGGGGACTAATTAGATCAAATTTGACACTATAGATTTAACAATGTATAATAGTATAATGGTTAACTAGCAATCTTAATTGTTACATTATGAAAACCAGAGTGCTATTAATGTACATATATATTTTATACACATATACATACATGTAACCGTCAATTACTTTTTTGTAAGTCCGCAATAGAGTAGTAAGTCTTAAAAAATTGATCAATAACAGTCGAAAGTAAGAGTGTAAGAAGAATAATCGATTATGATTGATCAATTAGGCTCCTAAAGGCTTAAAGCTTACTGCTCTATTACTTTTGCAGGGTACAATGTGTGATGTGTTTGTAAAGTCACTATTTTAGTAAAAAGATCAATTCTGAAAAGAAATGTGTTAATAAAATATATAACTATGCAGTTCTTTACAAATTACAAAAAAATCAAATCAATAAGATCTTAAAAGAAAAGAATTTAGTCGCATTTCATGTGCTTTATCAATCAATGTTTTTACGATTTCCAATTTTAGAATTTTTTTTGAAGTTTTCTAATAAATTTTTCTACAAATGTGTTTGAGGAACAGTGTCCCTAAGAAATAAGAGTATGGCCAATCTTGTCCTATTTTTTATTGGCTTGATGAAAAATTAATCAGATAATGATGTGAAAAAATTGAAAAGCAAATATGTGAAACGTCTTATATAGTTGTGTAAGTGCACATACACATACATTTTTAATCAAACTAGAAGATTAGCCAGACTCTTACTTTGAGGAACACTATTTGGAGAACACTATCAGCACTATTCTATTCTTGTCTCACGTCTAATGAATGATAAAGATTGAATAAAACATAATATGACGTTGAGCTTGCTTTTTTAACACATCCCATTTATCATAAAAGATCTGGAAAAAAAAAGAAAAAAATTAAATATAAATAAATATAGAAATACACAGTTTATACGTGTTAAATGCATGAATTTATATAAATGTTACTAATATCAACATTTCTTTGAAATTGATCTGTTTCAAAATAACTTTGTAAATATATATCCTGTATAATTATATTTGCAACACAAAGACAAAGATTGATAATACAAAATGACTGCTTTCAAAGTGTACACACAATGAAATGTAAAGTATGTAAAGACATAAGATTATTTTCATTATGAAATATGAGATTTATGCATAAATAACATAAATTAAATTTAAAGTCATAAATATAGAATTATATAAAAGGCAAATTACTAATATTTATTCCATAATATAATTTAAAAAAAAAAAGATGACTTTCATCGTTATATTATATAGCCGAAAATACTTTAAATGTTAAAAATACTAATAAAAACAAAATATTCACAAGGCTAATTATTAATAAAAATATATAGAATATAGTAAGACAAATAAACAATCATAATTATTGTAAATAATTAATTTAATATTTTCAACTTAATATTTAGCATATAATAATTTATATCATATAATTAAGAAAGGTTATATCACAGGTATACTTTAATAAAGTATAACCTTTTAAGGGTATACATTACTATAAGATATTTCCTATTCTATAATTAATATACTGATGATTCGAATAACATTGAAATTTATTGTTTCCTCTTCTTAACAAAAACATGGTTTAAGTACATTTATTAAATAATAATTGATAAAATTGTTGAAATTATGCCAAGATATTTCTAGCTCCGAAACACTAATGTCTGTTTCTATTAATGTAGTTCAATTTTAATCTCGGTTCAACTGATTTCTTATCTTTTTCTAGTTCCAAAAATTAGAAAAAGAAGAGTAAGTTGAACCGAGTTAAAGTTAATATACATTGGTGAAAACAGATACAAGTCTAATTTAATTGAATGAAGAACGAAATCAGATGGAGAAAGGATGGACAATATGGAGCAGTTTCGCGGTGGAAAGAGAGGTTAGGAGCATAAAAGATGCGCGCACATGCAGCAAATAAATCGAAGTGAAAAAACTCCAAGAAGACAATTAAGTTTCGAATTTTTGACAGACGAGAAGTGTAGGATCGTAACTAAATGATCTCTCTTCGTTTCGAGGTCAAAATCGTTACGCAATGCGGAAGAAAAAAAAGAGAGAGAGAGAATCGTTTGCGTTTACGTAGTTGCAGCTAATTCGAGCGGCCGGTTGCAATGCATGCGTATTCTCACGTACATACATGTGTTGCTCCGATAGGTAGATGTAGGATCGAAACTGCATTATATTTACCTATCCTCTTTCGAAGATGGAATGACGTTATCAGTAGGCCCGTTCTTTTTGACCGAACTTTTTCACCAGTTCATCTTTCTTTCTTTTCTCTCTAGGAGGTAAGAAGAGGAAGAAAGATGAACTGGTGCAAAAAGAACAGGCCTAGTGTATCGTGCAGAACCGTTTATACGTCTGTCTGTTTGTGTCTGCGTGTATGTATGTGCGTACAATCGAACGAGAATTTCGGGCTTAATCTGCTATCGACTGCAAAAAAAAAAAAAAAGAAAGAAAGAAAGAAAAACCGACCGGCATTGCGACGCAGAGGAATATATCGAAAGTTGCAAATATCGATACGTAAGAAAAAAGATATCCGTCTCGCGCGTGCAGATGTGTGCGCGTGCGTGCGCGCGTCGTGCACGGAGAGCGAGGAGGTAGGGAGAGGCTCGCAGAGTAAGAGAGCGGGGTAAAAGGGGCTATCTTCTCGGCCGACATGCAGCCGGCCATCTTGAATCCTGGATGCCGTTGAAAAATAGCGTTTCTTTTCGCGCGGCGCTTGACAGAACCGGCGGCGAAGATACGAAAGACAATGATTGTACATGCACGCAGATGTAGGGGGATTCATTGGACACCGCGTTCCCATGATCGGAGCACAATCGGATCTCCTCGCGGACGAGTGGAATGGAGGCGCGAGAATTTGTCAAAGAACTCCAAGATGAACGTTCATACGTTCCCCTTGGAGTTTAACGTGCACACGCACGAACATGCCGCGCCACAACACCGGGAAGCACTAAGCGTAGCAAGGATGACGGAGGGGAAAAAAAAAGTTGCGTTAGCGGCATTTACTCCTTTTTGATCCATTCACCGCTGCGAGCGAATGATTAAAAAAAAAAAAAACCGACCGCGAGGTCGAGAACAGCAGGGAAGGAGAGTAGAAGAGGGATATATATGTAGAGAAGGCTCGTCGGTTACAAACGCTTCGTCTGAACTATTTCTTACTTTGCGGTTGATCGTCCAGGCTCTCCCGATCGGACATTGCTCTTCTCGTAACACGTTCCCTTCTTTTGGTTAGATTTTCACGCGTCCTTCGTCCTTTGACGTCTTGAAATCGATGGGTCCCCGGCAATCAGAGAATGAGATAAAGAATAGAGATAAAATATATACGGAGGAAAAAATGGGAAATCCCTCGATACTACTAACACGCGTAGGCGCGTGCGAGACCCCCTTAGATATGACGGCGCGATGACGATAATCTCCCTCTTCAGACCCCACACAAAAACCGAACTATTCTTCTTTCACACCGTAGCCAGCACAGTGCACTGCAAATTTTGCACTTTCTCTTCGGTTTTTTTCCTTCCACACAATCACGACCCGACCGCCAACCGACCGACCGAACGACCGACCGACCGAACGAACGACCGACCGACCGACCGACCGTCCGTCCGTCCGTCTGTCTACGGCACACACCAATCGCCAACCACCACCACACACCACCGCACACGCTCTCGCCTAGTTCGTTCGCTCGCTCGCTCGCTCGTTCGCTCTACGCCGACATGCACTGCCACTCTTCCGCACCGTTCGCGCTGCTTTCCGGCTTGCCCTTGCTCTGCTCGTCGCTCGTCTTTCGCTCTCGCTCCTCCACCTTCTCTTCAATCCCTTCTCCCTCCTCGTGCACGGTCAGTGAGAGTGAGAAAAGCGAGAGCGAGAGAGAAAAAGACAAACCAAAAGAGTATGTACGCGCGCGTCTATGTTGAATACGTGCAAGATTATGTTATACAACACACGTAGGTATATAACGTATATATGTACCTACGTAGATGATACATATGTAGATATGTACCTACATTTATATGTATATATCGTATATGCTTAGCCCTGTAAATTTGCCTATTTTTGCATACGCGTATGTTCAAGTTGTGTATTCTTCCTTTTCTTTTTTTTTTTAATGTATATTAGCATTAATCTTTTCTGTATTTGCAAATGCGCCATAATAGCTTTTAAGGTGTTTACTGATAATCCAATAGTTTCGATATTATTTCTTATAATCGAATCGAATTCTAGAGTACTTGAATAACGATATAAATCGCATGATTGCACAACGAGATTTTGATGGCCACGTTTCGACCATAGAATAGTAGAAATATTTCTTTTTAACTGAACTTTTGCACTAGTTTCATCTTTCTTCTTCTTTTTTCCTCTTAAAGAGAAAAGGAAGAAAGACGAACTGGTGCAAAAGTTCAGTTAAAAAGAACTGACCCATAATGGGTGCATTCAGAACAATGAATTCGATAACTGCTCTTTCATCTTATTGGTCTATATTTTAGGATTTAACGGAACATGCCAATCAGATTAGAGTTCACTGAGCGCTCAGTGAACGATTGCGTATTTGGCTGTAACTAATCACGCAGAAATTCTCTTGAATAAGTAACTTCTCTGTTAAGAACTTTCATCCAAGTACATGATGGAAAGGCAAATTATGTATCTATATATTTTCAGAAATCTATTGAGCAAAAAAGAAGAACCTATACTCACCTATATTTATTACCAGTGTTGCCAACTCAGTAGATTTTCTATCAGATCAAGGTATCAATGGCTGCGTTCAGCAGAACACAACAGTTTTGCAACCGTTTTATGATTCTCTGCTGAGATAGGACCATTCCTCTTGATCTAAAAGTATAACCCAATCAGCGTGAAGATAACTTCCAACAGTTGCAAAATAAATGTTTTGTTGAATGCAGCTCATGTAATTTTTTCCTTAGGACATGAAAAGTGAACAATTTTTTATATGTATATGTGTATATGTTCATACATACATGCATAAAATTTTTCACTTTTTATGTTTCCGCTGTAGCAAAAAAGTTACATGATCGCTACCCAGATCTAAAATGCTGATTGGATGATTTAAAAAAATATATTAATAACAGAGGGTTCATTCAACTGTTAAATCCGCTGAACGCAATCTTTGTTCTATAATAGATGCTCAAAGTAACAGGGTTCAGAATCGTCGTCCGGATGCACCCAGATCGTTTAATCTTTGTTCGCGAATGTTAAACAAGGATAAAAGAACATCTAAATGTACCCAAATGATAATTCTCAACGAACCCTAGTAATATCTAATAAAATTTCAAGTTAGTGCAACCAATTACAGGACAAATGCAAAGCCGAAAGGATTGTGATTGGTTACCCTTACTTCACATTTTCGGGAAAGAGCCTAAGCACAATGATGATCGTAAAGCCTTGCGGTGCACAATGCTTGTTTTCCTGATGGATTGCTAGCTGGATTAGAATCTTGCCACCGGCTGCGAAACTGGCATTGACAGCAAATACGGTGGCAAGATTCTAATCCAGCTAATAATCTGGCAGGAAAACAAGCATTGTGCCGCAAGTTTTAAGTAACGTCTTAAGACGTTAATGCAGCTCTCTGATTGATAGTAACACCTCAAAGTAACATCTTGAATTTAAGAATTGACTATAAATACCGACCTAGGAATAAATATTAAAATTTCAATTAGAAACCGAGTATCCTGATGTATCTGATAGGTCGTAATCTTAATATTTATTCCTGTTCTTAATATTTATTATATTGTGCGCAGGCCCTAAGACTGTTTTCACATGCAGCGTAACTTGCATAAGCGTAACTTGCGTCAACCAATCAAATTATGTCAAATTATATCAACTACTACGCCTTATTCTGTTGAGACAATTTGATTGGCTAACGCAAGTTACGCTGCATGCATGTTGCCCTGGGTTTCAATGAAACTTTATCTCTAAGATAAAAAGTGAAAAATTTCTCCATTAATTTCAATAATAAAAGTTTTCACTTTACACTTTCCATTCTAGGGATAAAGTTTCATTATTGATACCCTGGGGTAAAATCTAATGAAGTTTTTAGTAGAGGCCGGCACACTAGAGTTGGTAACACTGTTTACTGCGTTCCTTGTGATGGTTCTTATATTGCGGTATAGACGCTTATAACCTCTAATGTAATATAACCTAGTAAATATATATCGATTTGTTTAAATTTTTTAAACAATATTAAGTGAAATAGATCGAGTTTTAATCTTGTGTTTAAACTTTTTTAAAAAATAAAATTATTTAAATACGTAAGATTCTTTTTACATATATTTACTATGTCATATTAGCAATATATTATTGGAATAACACTTTGAAATATACATACATATATAGATATATATTTTATTAAATTGCTTTTACAATACATATATATTAATCTTGCATCTATATAAACACACACACACACACACACACACACATATGTATAATACATTACATCTATATATATATAATTCTTGTATATATATGTAACTGTCTATATACATAATGTATACATGTATATACATATATATTGCGATACTATGGATATATATGTACATATTTAATTGTTTTTAATGTTTAAGTTTAATGTTTATCTTATATATTTTTTTTATTTACAGAAGATAAACTATTTAATATCGACTTTTGGTCAAAATGGATATTCGTCCAAATAATACAATTTACATTAATAATTTAAATGAAAAGATTAAGAAGGAAGAATTAAAGAAATCATTGTATGCTATTTTCTCTCAATTTGGTCAAATTTTGGATATCGTAGCTTTAAAAACATTAAAGATGCGTGGACAGGCATTTGTTATTTTCAAAGAAATAGCAAGTGCTACAAATGCCTTAAGATCAATGCAAGGTTTCCCATTCTATGACAAACCAATGGTAAGAACTTACGTTATATTTTTTTATATTTATATTAAGAATATTCTAATGTGTACACATGTGTGTACGCATGTGTGTATGTGTGTGTGTGATGTGCGTGCGTGCGTGCGTGCGTGTGTACGTGCGCGCGCGTGCATTATTTGTATATTATAAATTTATATAAATATATTTGTATTACATATATGTGTATAAAGATATAAAAATAATCTCTTTCAAATGCTTTGTTTTTTTTGTAGAGAATACAATATGCTAAAACTGATAGCGATATAATAGCTAAAATGAAAGGCACCTTTGCAGAACGTCCAAAGAAACCAAAGCGAGTTATTCCAGTAGCAGACGAGGAAGCCAAACGTGCCAAGAAACGTGCAAAAGAGCAAGCAAAACATTCACAACAAATTGGTTATCATGCTAGTATACCTCAACATTCAGGACTTGTCAATGCCGCTGTTCCTGAACAGCCACCTAATCAAATATTGTTCTTAACAAATCTACCCGACGAGACAAGTGAAATGATGTTATCAATGTTGTTTAATCAATTTCCGGGTTTCAAAGAAGTACGGTTAGTACCTAATCGGCATGATATCGCATTTGTTGAATTTGAAAATGAAGTTCAGTCTGGTGCGGCAAAAGATGCTCTTCAAGGTTTCAAAATTACACCTTCCCATGCAATGAAAATATCATTTGCAAAGAAATAGCTTTATAATATTTTGTATTATCCATACTATATATATAATAAAATAGAAGTAAGACATAAGTTGAATTGCATTTGTATAAAGAAAAATGTATTTCTTGGTATTTAAATTGGTTTCCATTATTTCATTCATAACTTTGCGCAATTTAAAATCTTTTATTTAATATCCAACGTTACTTTACAATGGGATTCAATAAACGTAATATTTCTCAAATGATTCATATTTTTATATACAATCCGCGTGACAAGTTATGCCATGTAAATAATATATTTCAGTTTAAAAGTATATGTAAAAAGTATATATACAACTTATTAGAAAAAGTTTATATTCCATTTGAATACCTTTTGCAAAAATAAGTAATGTGAAAGAGTAATTTGCTATAATAAAATACAATGTGTTATTTTTTCCTTCTAATTTCCTGTTTATATTGACTTAAATTGATTTGTTACATTATACTGAAATATATTTTCTAATAATTCAGTTTCATAAATTTTAAAAAACTTTGTAAGAATATTTATTTTATTATTTAAAAATACATAATATACTACGTAAGTTTATAAAGGAAGCAAGTTCCATATTTCCGAATAAATAGTGCAACGAGATCTATCAAAAACTATACCTCTATATTACATTACAGTACATTATATTACACATATTTTTGAAGTATAAAATTTTAATTTATTTATCTGACATTAATAAAAATATCAGGTAATACTTGTAACGATCTATTTCATATATAATGGGGCAGGTTGTATTACAAGTGTAATTCGCCTTGTCATATTTTTATTAATGTGAGATAAATAAACCTTAAAAAACCTTTTCAAAAAAGAAAAAATGTACGCTTGAAAAATTTTCTCGTACGAGAAAATTTTCAAGAGTGTTAATTGGCTGCAGGACAGAGAGATCCGAGACCTTCTTCGTCCGCGAGAACCTTTTCAACAAGCTTGAAAAGTATATATCGGGTAAATGTAAAAAAATCAGGTAAATATAATTTAGCCTAAGTACATATAAATGTGACAGTGTAGAAAATGAAGGGTTCGATTTTTTTGCGCACGCATTGGCTATACAGCATAGAATATAGCAACCTTCATGGTTGAAAGTATAGGAAATTATAGAAAATTTTATTAATATTCAACATTAATATAAATTTATCTACATACATAAACATATAATACATATTATAAACGTACATATAATAATCAATTTAAATTTAAATGTAAATACTTCTTAAATGTTAAAAAAATGTCTCAAAAAGTGTATAAAGCTTTTCTAGAATGTGATTATATACACTAAAAGTATAAAAAT